GGAACTGATCAATTGTTTACACACACACACACACACACACACACACATACACCTCAGCTCGTACCGTCAAACAGACACTCAGGAAGCCATACAACATAGTTTCACGCATGTATGACCTATCCGTAATGCAAAACTACGGATCTGTCGGTAGATTTCCCTAAATAGCAATCAGTTTTCTTTCATTGCTGTTGGATCTAGACAGTTGACAGAATGTCAGCTGGACAAACTTGAATCACTATTGGTGACCAGCCTTAATGTAAACGGATTGACATAGTGGTAGCATGTACGCTTTCCGTAAGGTTAGCCTAGGACCATATCTATAACTGATGAGCTCGAAGAACAGCGAAACTGTTATACAACTTGATGATTGAATGGTGGAACGGATGAATTGGGAATTAAGCATAGGGGTGAAACCTGAAGGATAGTCATTCACAATCGGTTACCCTCATTCCACATCGCCACACGGATAACTAAAGTCACAATCGATCTACTTCTGAAACTTGAGAAATGAATTGGTGTTCAACTCACAAAGATGATGTTTTGCTGCATAACTTTTCGACTGAATGTGAGTTTTTGTTAACTGCAAGGCTTGTGATCAATTTCCGATCACGCTACTGTAGTGTTTTCAATTTCCATTTTATACATAAAATCATTGAATGAAAATTAATGCTGATTTATAACGGGAGTGGATGTGTCTTGGTGGCTGATTTGTTTCGTGCAAATGTGTTTTATGAATTCGTAAATCGACCTGAAAACTCCTACGACCGCCACTTGATAGTCCAGTGACGCGATAGTCACAAATCAGATGGTCTTTTTCCCATGTAAACTAGACACGGTGGACCCGGAAATCGAGTCAAGATCGTGTCGAGCGTTTGCCAGCACAGACTGATCCGTATTTTGGATATTGACACAACCGAGCCATCATCAAGTGGGAGAAATCATTAAATTATACAAACTCTCATCAATATTGATTAATTCCAATGTGAAGTACCATTTTGATGGGAGTGGAAGGGACTGTGTTTCAAGCAGCACACACTCGTGTGGTGTGGGAATGAGTAGTAAGTGTTCTACTCGAGGAGTGTATGCTGTTCGTCTGTGCTTCAGAAAGAGAGAGAGAGACTAACGTGAGGATACAGGAAGAGATAGTGTATACCCAGCTCCCTATTTCTCTGTTCCGCTAAGATGAGAAAATAGTTGAGGATGGTTTAACTATGAAAGTGTTGTTTACTTTTGGGGAGAGAGAGAGAAAGAGAGAATATACTCGGCTAACGTAAGAACGAATTAACCTTAGTTACGGATCCGGTTTAAATAACAGCCTATAAAGGCTACTAAATGAACGTGCACTAGTAGTAGCGGCTAGAGGAACGTAAACCCTCACTCGTTATACAACAACTGGGGTATGCAAGTCATCGGAAAACACAAACTAATCGTACACGATAATGATGGCAGATTGAGTTTGGATCGAATGGTCAACGTTGTCGTGAACATGTACAGATCATGAGTAATACCAAGCGATTTGAGCTTGTCGAAGTGAAGCCCATGTTGTTGGCATCGAAACGTATGTGCGAGTAGTTACCTATACTCACCGTGTTTTCGGTGCGGCGTACTTGTGACGAGACAGTGTGTGTGTTTGTGTGCGGACACTGCACCCTTTCTGCTGTACCGAAATTGCGATATTACTGGGAAAATGCGCATTTTTTTGTGAATCTGTTCGAGACTCATGTTTAGGGAGAAAAAAGTTATTTGCTCTCTTTGAGTTGAGGAATAAAACACATTATTTGATTAGTATACTATATTTCCAAACCTCTTTAGGAACGAATTGTATAAATCAGTCGTTTTTGTAATTAATGCTGTTGATTTAGATATTTTTTGCTTGAGTGTTTGTCAATTTGTGGCAAGTATTTTATCAATTGTGAACAGAGTCACTCTTCTAGGGTTACTCGCGATTGCATCACTGATCGTCTCGAAACCGACCGGTCTGTTCGGAACTGTGCATTCGTTCTGTGGCTCTATGGTCGTTCTTGACTTGGTATCAATCATACTGGACAATGAGATCAGATTGTATACGGGAGACTGTAACGGGGATTGTATCCGGTGTGTGGATAACGAGTGAAACGGATTGAAGGACAACTCATGCGTCGACTCGGTCGATTGACTCGTTTTGGGCTCGGAAAAGTTGATTGGTTGTTCCAGCGGAGTGCAGCTACCGTTCCCGGATTTGTCTGTAGACAACGAGCCAGATGAATGAGTTTGTGAATTCGATCCGTCGTAGAGACTGGTTGTCACATTGACTGTATGTTTCCCCTTGTTCGAGCGTTTTGATTCCTGTTGTATCGATCGTTTCATAAGCTTTAGTCGACGTTTTTCCAATCGATACAGTTCTCGTTGCATAAGTTCCTTTGGATCAATGGGTTCACCGGAACAAGTCAATGGTTGAGCATTATGAGCTGGTCGACCTGGGCCTGCAAAAAAAACAATATCAAAATGCAGTACCACGTGAATCACATTCAAGATGAAAAAGATATTTTCGTTTTCGTCAAAAACGAATTACATATCCTGAGTATGGCCATAAAAATATCAAAGGAAACTGTTTGGATAAATTAATTTCCTATCAGATTCATCATCATCATCGTTATTGTACAGCGTAATACAGTGAAGCGAACTTCACTGATCGCTGCCAAACTCATAATGCATACAAGATCAGTGAGAATGTGTAAGGAGGACAAGTACTGGGCCTATTTGTAGGGACGGAAGAATAAAGCGAACCTCTATCGTCAACACACAGAGTACACAGCCCAACTGTACATACATGAAATTTCAAACATTCTGGTCTGATAAGAAGTGACAGCATGATCACCATTGCTGTCGGTTCGCAGCCATAACATTCAGTGTCTCCAACCATGCGGTTTCGGAGTCATTTGGACCCCAACCCGGAAGATGAGAGACACCTACTGTACCTAATCGCTCTGTGCACTTCTTTATGCCTCATCTTCACGTCATCTTATCAGATTACAAGTTTTGGACCATGCACTCAATTATAAAAGGCAAATTGATATGACAATTCACTGGTCTGTAAAAAACTAATGATTTTTGCAATGAGTTACTTGATTCAGTACTGAAGGAGAAAGAGATAACGATAAGCCTTTGTGCCATAACACAAACCTTGTGCAAGATCTAATTTCGCTCTGAGAAAATAGTATGATTGAGAACCACAAAGATTTCTCCGATAGGGCATTTCAATTGACACGGCTGGCTCGACAGGTGATAAAGGCTGATGGTGTGAGGCTGGGCAAAGTATGAGTTATTTTTTTTTTCAAGCAATGCACTAATCCTCTGTGGCATAAAACATGATTTTAAGGGACTGGTTTGTTCAATATCCCTTGTGTCGAGATTCGAAATCTATTTCCTATAAATAAAAAGGAATAAATATAAATGTTATTCCACTTCCTTTTTCTATTTATTAAATATTAAAATGCACAGGGAACTTTCCGAAAGAGGGCCACGGCCATACAAAGGCTGACGGGGAATTTTCAGAAATAGGGAAGACGGTCAAGGGTAGGGTGGTTCGAACCCGGAACATCCAGGTCACAATTTGGTAACCTAATCACTTGGCCACCACCGTCAAACTGTTTTTATCAGTAAAAGAATCACATTCACAGTTTATCACCCGTGAGCTTAGTGTCTTTCAGCCTAATAACATACGTATTCCATTGAGGTCTTGTGTGGCTCATTAATCCAAGTCCCTGGGAGGCTTAGGTTCATGATTACCATAGGTGAATAACAAGTTCTCGTTGCCATGGGGCTCATCCATTTTGTTGTTTAGCGCACAGCAATTTGTTATTTAAAAAAATCAAAAAATAGTGAGCTCTGCCAGCGTCGATAAGTTTTAATCCATAAAGTCTAACATTACGAATCATCCGAGGTGGAAGGCATAAGGGACATGAATCCAAGATTCTAGAAATCATCCATGTCTGAAGAACTTAGAACATGCTTGTGGCATGTGCTTCTAAATCGTTCGTACGTAGCGGAATAAGAACACACACGAGTACATATTTATTACATAAGAATGTATTCCGAGCCGGCTGTTCAGCCTCTCGTCTCTTTACCTGCCGAAAAGATTGGAGCAAGCAGTTGCGACAATGAATGGTGGAACAAAATTCATTTAATCGTCCATTGGGATGATTCAACTCACCTTTTCTCGTGTTTTCGCGTTTTCTCCACTTTGCTCTTCGATTTTGAAACCAGACCTGCGCGCGTAAAAGAGAGAGAGAGAGCGAGAGAGAACGAAACACGTTCAGGTGGATTCTTGTTGATTTGCCGTAAACTAACAAGCAAATATGGGCCTTTCAGATTTGATGAAATAATTTGACCTGGATACAACTATGAGTGATAAGAGCCCAGTGGTTCAACAGGTTTAAGACTAGCGGTTGTTTATTGACCAGTCCTACTCATCCCTGGGAGCCTCCTCCAACAAGATTGTCACTCTCATTCACAGATGTGTCTATTTAGTATTTTCTGAATTTACTCTATTAATTCCTACATTAATTGAATAGTTCACATCTGTCATTAAAATTTTCATTTCAGAAAATTTTAACGAACGAATGTGGCGGTGGCGCAGTGGTTTGGTCGCTGTTCCCCCTCCCCCCCCCGGCTAGCTTTGGACCCCATGGTCTGAGGTTCGAGCTCCGCTACNAACTTCGGCGGTGGGCAGCTTTGCTGTCGTCCGGTTCAATACCACACCTAACCTTGTGGATTCTTATATAGTTTGCCACTCCAAAACCCGAGGGTCCTAGGCTCTCAGTTTCTATCGCTGACCAGCAGGTCCTCGTGACTATGGGGCATGCCTCCCCTGTTGGTCATCACACTAGGGTGTATAATGAAAAACACCTTTCGTCAGTTGGAACGTTTTCTTCTATCTGAGTGTCACCATTTGTGTTCACTATACTATGGTTAATTATTAAAATGTCTAGTTAATGGCCACCTCTTTCTATTTGTTTTTCTACGTTCCGTAATACATCAACTGAAATAGGATAAGAGCCAGATTATCATTCGTCAGTGCGGCGGTTTGTGTGATTCGTCTAGGTGTAACATCTAAATAGATCGAAAACTTCTGACGTCGCGTACATGCACACGTATTGACCGAACACGTGCGACAAAATCCTGACACTTTCATCACGTTTATTATGGTGTTTCGAGCCTCATTCACACTATTGCTCCACATCAGACGTAAAACATCTGTACGAATATCCGGTTGCTGGGGTATCAGTTGTAAACAACAAAGCCTCAGTATAAATATATCATTAGAATTTATTTCTAAAATGACTCATAGGCATGCTACAAGTGTTGTACTTTCATTTTTCAATGTTCTATTTACCCTCCCTCACTTCTGAGCAATGAATCCTGTCGTTTTTTTTTATGGAGTCCGCCAATTTGTCTGTCAAACAATATTTGCCAGTTTGCATTAGTACGTACGGCACTCTGCCCACTGACAACCAGTGTTGAGGTAAATAACTTATTCTTGTGTCTCACACAAAGCAAATTTTATTTTTCATTCAAATCTCAACTGCTGAGCCATAACTGAATGAATTCCACATTGTACTTAACCCATCCAGAAATTGCATAAATGTAAAAAAATACAGTATTTGATGACATCTAACCGTTTCTCACTACCAACCTCGAGTAAGAAGATACACTAACCTTTATCTGGGAAAAATATGACTTCCGCGAATGCATTTCGAGAGTGACAGTTATCGAAAACTTACCCCATCAGTGTAAAACATTTTGTGAAAAACAGGTGAATATCAACTTATCATTCCGCATTTATTCTCACTCTAAACACGTATGATATCAGAAACTGAAATGTATTTTGCACGGATTATACGTGTATATATTCATCGAATCCATTGCTCTATTCGAACTCTAATTTGGATAATCGATAGCCAGCTGCTTCATATTTTGTCATATTCGAGTAAAATATATATATATATATATACATGATGAATTCATTGTGTAAGTGAGGTATGAGCTGAAAAGCTAGGAAGCACTGGATAGTTGTTTCGATCTGGTTGGGTCTCATCAGCAATGCAAATCCATGAACTCAACTATGAGCCGAACTTGGGACCTCACAAGTAGAATGCAAGTATACTACCCACTCGGCCACTGGGGAACTGATCAGACCGTTTCTCACTTGGAATACGCGCAATATAGCACAATCCATTTTCGATCATCTAAGCATTAAACTTCAGGGTTATGACTCGGTTAGAAACTTTCGCAACCTCACTATGTGTTTACATAGATGAACTGGACACATGATAATTGATCAGAGCAAAATAGATCAGTCAACATGACTACAAATTTGCCGGAATGAAGTAATGAATAAAAATATTCTAGACAGCTTGAGAAAAAGGGTTTCCTTGTCCACTCAAACAGAATAAACACTCACAACTTTAAGAAGTTTGGTGAATCACGTTCTTGTTGGGTTTGGGTATTAGTGATAGCTCTCTTCTATTGAACCCCACTGACTAAGTTGACAGTGTAATTGAACAATACTGCCGATTAATTACCTCTTGAGAATAATAGTTTGTTCAGTGAATGAGAATTCCACAATAAGCATAGTCTATGCATTTACAGTTATTATTAATTTCTCAGATGAACAAAAACGGTCTGAACGAAGATGTTCAATAATAAATATGAAGTATGCACGGGCCAGTTCAGTTTCAGTTTGCACAAGCATTAATAATGCACTATCGTGCGCCGGTTTTTGTGTCTAGATGAATCAGTGAAAACAATTATTCCTCACTGCTTACCGCTTCGGGCATCATGACATTTTTTGTATTACATAAATTAGTATGGTGAACAATAGACAGGGAAAGCCCCATAGTCACGAGGGCCTGCTGTTCAGTAATGGAAACCGGTAACCTAAGTTCCGAGACTTGGAGCGACGAACCACATAAAGCCCCCCCCCCCCACTTGGTCAGGTGTGCTATCGACCCGGAAGACAGCAAAGCTGCTTACCACCAAATTTGGGTGGCGGTAGCGGGACTCGAACCTCGAACCGTAGGGTTCAAAGCACGCCAATGAGAGCGACTAAACCACTGCTCAATCACCACATATTATGGATTCTGTGAATTACTATTCAAATTTGACACGATAAGCCATCAAGTCCGATGTACAGATTTTCATTCAAAGAATGGAATTTCACTTGCTTTTGTTCATTCACATGAAACCGAGGTAAATCATATCAGTTATTTTTAGAAATCATCTTGTGCCCATTTCCTGGTTTTGCCAATCAAATCTCTGGCAGTTTTCACAACCACCACTTGACTAATAACCCGTCTTTTCTAAAAATTGAACCTGATAGACAACGAAGAGTTGAATATCTGCGATTCGTTCATTTAATGATTTGTTCACAAGCTTTCGCCTAGATTTTTCGATTATCTTAGATTTGACCAATACTTCAAATTCTTCTCTTTTCCACGAACTGATGAGCTGAAACTATGGAAACATGCATAGTGGATATCGTTTACACGTAATGCGTATTCTTCTATCAATCGACTTTTCTTAAGGCCAGCAAAGAAGAATTTCCGGGAACTTTCATAAAACTACGGAGTAATCACTGTTATTGCGTCACTCGTGATCACCACTATGCTTGCCCACCTGAATACGGGATTCGGGTAATTCCAAACGTTGAGCCAGCTCTTCGCGAACACACAGAGTCGGATAGTGACTGACACGAAAGATCATCTCCAGCTCTTCCAATTGTTTCACTGAAAAATTTGTCCTTGTTCGCTTCCGTTTGTCTACCAGGGTGGCAGTCGTGGTGGAAGTTGACTCCAAGGAATGCAACAATAGCGGATCGTAGTTATGATGCTGAGGCCATAAATAGGAGATAGGTTGATCCGTTTGACTGGGCAAGAAATCAAGTCCACCGACACTGGTACTGGGATCGACTGCGACAACCGTGGACTGGCTCGCCTGATCCCAGTTGGGTGATGAGATGGTGTTTGATTTCATTGCCGCCACCGTTGTTGTCGGTGCTACTGTTGCTGTTGTTGCTGTTGTCACAACTACTGGTTCCACTTTCGTCGTTGTTGTTTCTGCTGCTGTTGTTGCGGCTGTTACTGTTGGTGTTGGTGATGGCGTTACACAAGGAGCATCTGTTGCAGAGATTGTCGCTGTGATGAGCTGCTGACTATTTTTATTCTCGTGGTAACTGGGACAGGTCAAGTTCAGCGTATCCTCTTCTTTAACTGACGAATCAGAACAAACAAGATCAAAACACAGGGAAACAGTTGAACAGTTGAAAAAATACGTAAAAATTGTTCACAGATGCATGATAAAAACATATCACGAATAACAGGTTCAGAGAAAAATTTTAATTCAATTCAATTTAAAAAGAGCACCGATTGTATATTGATAAAGGGTTGTTTCGATGAAAACTCACTGGTGACCAAGATTCGTCGTATTGCCCATCATGTGGCACACAGCTTTATATTGTTCCGTTGATTTGGTGGTAAGGTGAAACACCGTGGGATTTTATACGCATATCTTTATTTCCACATCGACTACAGCTTATCTCACATGAATTCATCCTTACACAATTAATGGTATTCCTATATATAACTAATAATCGTTTTGATTTATTTCTGATATAAAATTGCACATTTAACTTCCGCGGAGGGGTTTGGCTGCAGTCGTTCAAACACTAACCGAAAAACGTATGGGAAAGAACAAATGAGGTGACTGTGAAAGGATTTGAACTCGCGATGTCGGGATCTGTTTGAGATTGGCCTTAACCATCACTTTGAGTGGCTAGCGAAAACGAGACCTGGGTACTTGTTTCATTCTTTTCGGGGCTCATCAACAGCATTTACTAATTCTGTTAGGACGTAAATCGTGATTCTTCAGACTGGAACCCAAAACTCTTACTCTCAGGGGACAGGAATAACAATCATTTGCAAACCTTGATAAATATATATAATAATACTAATAATAAAATACTACTACTAGTATTATTAGTAGATAGTTGAGTTTATCACACTTATTGTTACCGATTCTCATTGGGGGTAAAAATAAACTTCAAATCAGATAACTGATTCACTAATCACACACACGCACGTTTGAGAGAAGATAAATCCTGTTACAGAAAGTCCCTAGAGATAGTTCTATAGTTTGCGTACATGTAATATTGGAAATCTGACGAATATGAAACGAATTAAAGTGAATGGTTGAGCGTTGGTTTATCTTGTTATGTTCGGCTGCACGGGATTGATTACAGAGAAGCTAGACCAAGGTGAAACTCTTCTGCACACAGTATGTTTGTCATTTGACGCGCCTGTTCAAATCCATGACGGAATGTAAATATTTCATAAAAAGTATTGCATAACCGTATCATATTTTTTTGGCAACCGTTAGAAATACACTTCGGACCAGCTAGACTCCGACTGTTCAAGTTCACATATGGTTTGCTACAACTCTTGTGAGGCACTACTCACATTTGTGAGTGGCACGTGTAATAGTGCGACTGGTGGTTTCCTTCAAAGATCAAAAATTATTAAAACCACCGAGGGCAGATTGTTGTGTCTCAAAGAATAACTACCAGCCGCTCCATTCATTATCCGGTGTGTTGCCAGGAACTGCGATGCTGTTTTGAAGGAGATTTCTGTTATATGTATGCTAAATTAATGATATCCCAACTGTTATCTGCAATAAACAACTATCCTTGACTGAGCACCGCCTTGTACAATCACAACA